TTAAAAATATTAATTATTCATAAAAGTAAATCAGAAGAAAATTTATAGTAAATAAGCAGGCAAATTTGCCTGCGAAATCCTACAATCTAAGGGATAGTAGAGTCATTTGCAAAAGCATCCATAGTGACAACATGGATAGCTGACTTTAAAAAATCTCGCAAAGCATTTTCAGATTCTCATGCATAAATTCTACTGGACATTTGACGTATAATCACATTGATTTCATCTAAAATAACTACATATGGATGTCTTCTGTGAAGCTCAATACGATGTGTGCTTTCAACCTGAATAATAATAATATCCCAATCACTTATAGCTAAACTACCTTCAACTTCTTGATATTAGCATACGCGAAATCCTAAACTCTGTAATATTTCAACTTTAGCTTTAGTCTCATTGCTAAGAGTTTTACGATATGAAATCCAGCTAAAATAAGGTAAATCTTCTCTATTCTCAGTTAAAGATTTGAGAATTTCTCTTAAGACTTTTGTTTTACCAGTACCTACAGGTGAACGAATAAGAGTCATATTATATATAGAACTTAAGAAGTCTGGATAAGCTTCTGGAGCCTCTTCCATCTCTTTCACATTGATATTTTTCCAGACAATTCAGAAAGTAAACGTGGATTTTTTACAACATTAATTAATCTGTCATTCAATTCCTATTTAGGTCTTTCTTTTGGCTTGATTATACCTGATGCTTTCCCAAATACTAATCCCTTATGATCTGGTTTATATTGTTTTTGCCGGTAGCATTTAAGTATGAAGTACCTATTACTTCGAAGAAATCCATACAACTGATCTTTTCATGACTAATATTGCAAATAGAACATGCTTTTAATGACTGGGCTTGAAAGTTGACGAAACCCTTTCTAATATTACTAACCTCAAGCCATTCATATTTTGTAATAACTAAGTTAGCTCCTTTACTTAAGACAGTTTCATCTTCGATATGTTAGAATATCTCCTTCTTCTTCAGCTTTTCGGAAGAAAAGGTCTGTAGCCAGATTTCAGAATAATAAAATTTGGGTTGAACCAAATAATCCTCTAGATTGCAATATCCTTTCTTAATTGAAGAAATTGCAGGTCTTTTGATTCTATCTCCCTTTGCTAATCCAAGAAGTTGAAGACTAAAACGTGATTTATAAAGCGTGAGATCGATAAATTCATAATATGGTTTTCCAACCTTATCAGCGACTTTTTTTACAAAACTTCTGAGATCTCTATAGTCAATAAAGTAGGCATCACAACATATAATATGCTAACTGCATTTATCATCATTAGATGAACTAGCTAAAGCGAAAGCATTTAAAGTTATGAGATGTTTTAAATCAGAGTATAAAATATCAGCGCAGGCAATTAAGATTCTGGATAATAAATCATTATGAGAAATTTTATATTTATTTAAAGAGAGAAGTTCAGGATACGTGGAATCGGGCTTCTGCTTCGCATCAATATCCAGAACAAGGCGAAGAGACAGGTTACCATCAATACATTCATGAGAATCAGATAAGCTATAAACTTCAGATGGGTGATCAACAACTGTAAAGCCCTTATCTGCCACCAGAATAATATATTTATCAAAAATCTCTTCAGGATGATAGGCATCTAGAAAAGCGATAGCATCTTGACTATTAGACAAATATTGGAAATACATATAATCATTATAGCCCAGCTCAATATCAAGGTCTACTCATCTGAAAAGAATCTTATTGCTTCATTTATTTCTTCAAGATTAGGTTCGAAATTTTTTTGTGTAAGTAGCATAATAGGTATGTAGAGAAAGTTAATATAAAATTATATAGAAAATACCAAATCTTCAAAATAGTAATTTTGAACGAATACGCTTGCTGGTAAAATATTGGGTTAGTTGTAGTACCAAAGGTAATCGATACAATAATAACCCAAAGTAATCATATATAAGGGTACTCCAGAAGTAGCAACAATAGGAGAAAGAGTTCTAGAAAAGTAAGAAGCAAAGCTAGGATATAGATTTGGTGACTCCCAAAGGTAGAATTATATATAGAAAATAAGAAATTCAGCTTTTAGGAGACATTGACGATAGGCAGAAAAAAGGTCAGAAAGGTGAAAAGGCTCAGAAGAATACATGAAAAAAGGGTATGAAAGATCAATATAGTAATAGCCCAAAGTAATGACCATAGGAGTACGCCAAAGTATTAACTATACGAGAAAGAGTTCTAAGAATGTAAGGATGGAAAATAAAGTATAGATTTGGTAGGCTACTCAAGCAGAATTATATATAGTAGGGTTCCTCAAAATCGAATCGAATCAAATATTTAAGCAATTTGAATTTGATTTGATTTTTTCAAATCGAAT